TGGTTATTGAGGAGAAGTCATTCGAAGATTTGAAGACATTTGACCCATGTAACGTTGAAAGTGGGTCAAAGTCATTCATTTGGACAAACTTGGCAGTCCTTCATCCCAGCATGCTACAGGCCCAATATCAGTACCCTTGGCCTTTTGGCTAGCTGTGTAGACTGGAACAAGCGGAGTCAAGTATCTTGCTCAAAGATACAACACAGTGCCGTGAAGTGACTCGAACTCGCAACCCTTCTGTCACGAGCCCGGCATCCTACCACTAGACTACCGTGCCTCCTATAGAAATCTAAAAAAAAAAGGTTCAGAATATGCTATTTGCGTGTTTCAACAGATATGACCCCTGTGACCTTGAATGTTGGTCAAGGTAATTTATAGTCCCTATATTGTAGCACTTAGTAAACAGCAAACTACTGGACATTTGTCATGATTTAAGGCCTCTTTCATTTTTCAGGAAAAGCTTTCCAATTCTAAATAAATTTGACACCTGTGATCTTGGATACAGGCCAACCATTCCGACTTAATTTCCAATTAACAAGAGGCCCAGAGGGCCTGTATTGCACACCTGAATATTTAAGCAGTCACTGCTAAATATTCTCATTAAATATTATACTGTACTACAAATATTTCACTTAAAACTTTGTCGGCTCCATCTGTTGAAGCTACCAGCCAAATATTGTTGTATGATTTTATGCTTTTTGTCTCATCTTCAGAAGTTATTTGACATATTTTCCCCTGTGACCTTGTAAGTAGGTCAAGATCATTTTCCTTCTCAAGCTATGTTGGCTCTATCCCAAGAAGCTACCAGCCAAATATTATGATTCTATGCTTTTCGATTATTCAGAAACAGTTGTTTGATGCATATTTAAGTAGGTCAAGGTCATTTTAATTCACTAACTTTGTCATGTTCAATCTAAAGCTACCAGCAAAATATTAAGATTCTCCAGCCAAATATCAAGATTTTAAACTTCTTGGACGCCACCCCAAGAAGCTTCCAGCCAAATATTAAGATTCTATAACTTTCTGAAGAAATTGTTAAGTATTTGACATATTTGAACCTTGTGACCTTATAAAGAGATCCAGGTTATTTTCATTGGCAAACTTTGTCAGGTGCGATCCCAGTAAGCTACCAGCCAAATGTTATAAATCTATGCTCTAAGATTATTCAGAAGTTGCTGTGTTTGGACACATTTGACCCCTGTGACCTTGAAAGCAGGTCAAGGTCATTTTCATTCTCAAACTTTGTCAGGCTGTATCCCAGGAAGCCACTGGCCAAATATGAAGATTTTATACCTTTCAGCTCTTCTTCAGAAGTAGTTTGAAGTTTTTGACATATTTGACCACTGTGACCTTGAAAGTACAATGTAAGTCAAGGTCATTTTCATTCTAAAACTATGTTGTGCTCCTACCAACAAAGCTTTCAGCCAAATAGCATGACATGGTTCATACAAACTTTTGACCTCAAAATTTAAGGACTTTTCAAGACAAATTTTGAAAATTCAAGGACTCATTTATATTTCAAAATAAACAAACAATTTTAATAAACATTACCTTTACTATTTTCAGTTTTCTTCTTATTGCAAGAAAACAACAAATTTACTGCTTAAAAGAATCTACTTATTTTGACAAGGTGTCCTGGAGTTTCTCTAGTTAATCCTGCTTTTCCCTCAACCTTTGTTCATGCAGGTGGACTGTGTTACTAGGTAGTGTAAGCTTTCCTTTCCTTTTCAAGTGTTTTTTACTTTTCATATGTGATGTAAGGGCGTGTTCCCACATCCTGCCCAGATCAATATTTTTGTTACACAGAGAGCACAAAGCAAAAGTCCTGTCACCCTTGAACTCTCTCAACCAGAAAAATCTGGGATCGGCAAGCCATTTGCTAAAAACGCACTTCCCCATCGCAGTTGTTCCGTGTGTGTCCGCCTGTTAACAATACTCTTAATGCTCATGACCGTAAGTTATACTGGCGCTTTGACTACGAGACTTACTTAATTCAAACACAGTAATGATACAAATTGAAAAAGTAACACTGGAAACTTCATCGGTATATATTTTCCAGAATTATTAAAAATTACGATCTGCAATTTGACGATTAATCTGTGTTAAAAATAATGATTGTTTGCAACGAATGTTTACAAAATACTGAATTAACATGACAGAAACTAACTTCAATGATTTTCAAGGGTTTTTCAAGGCTTACATCAAATTCAAGGGTTTTTCAAGACAGACATCAAATTCAACCATGCACGACTCTAGGCCGTTCCGTTCTTCAGAAGAAGTTGTTTAACTCTTTGCCTGCTGCCAGCGGGATCTCTCGCCGTGGGCCAATTTTACCCTGGCTCGCTCCCGGCAGGAGCTCCCGACTGACAATCTACTTTCGTTTCCAAAAATAATGTGGGGAGATTCCGATGAAGTAGTACACAACTTTTGTGCTTAATCATACGGGGTATTTCAAAATGAAGAAAAATGTCAACACATGTGGAGTCGCTGTTTTCACAGAAAAAACGTAATTTTCGGCCAATTTTGAACAAAATTTCAACTTTCATGGCTGAACAAGAATTCTATGATATCGTCGTTAACTCCGAAGCGAAGATGAGGAGTTTTTAGGCTATTTACTGGAAGATATTGCCAATGATGAAGCGTATGATACGAGAGAAATTGACGATGTTGTCGAAGAGGAACTTGTGGCAGAAGTTATGGCAGAAATTGACAGGGAGGATTGCAATACTAGACACGAAGCATAACATTGCGAGTGGTTGAAACAAGAGATCCCAGAGGGATCTTGGCGCCCACCTTTGTACCATCTTCATTAGTTCTTTGTCAATTCGATCTTTTCTCTTCTTTCCTCTAATCTGTTTGATCGAGTCATGTTAACAGTAAATGCACCTTGAGGTAACTTTACATCTAAACTTAATACTGATGTGTATGAAAGCCAACCTTCAAAGTGAGTTTGTCATTTCACATATTTACTCGTACAGTACTTAAATTAAGTGAAAAAAATAGAATCGTCATTGCAAAATGAGAAAGATCTGTTTAGTTCTTCTTTTAATCCATTTTGTTTTTATGATCAGTCTCAAAACATAACATGCACAATGACAGATCAAGGGGAACCTACATATAATATTTGAGAAAGATCCCTCCCGTACTTCCCAAGAAATAGCGATAACAACCTTTCACTATCAAAATCCAAGATGGCTGCCTGTCGGCCATGGTGTTTATCCGATAAGTCTCAAAAATTGCCCTGCACAGCTAAGGACCAAAGGGAACCTACATATAAAATTTGAGAAAGATCCCTCAGGTACTTCTTGAGAAATATCGATAACAAAAATTGTTTAAGGACGGACGACGGACCACGGACGCAGGGTGATTTGAATAGCCCACCATCAGATGATGGTGGGCTAAAAATTTACTGTTGCTTCCGGGCCGCACCATATTGATTAAAATGAAAGTGAGAGTGGTATATTCTTACACATATTTGACGACAAAGTCATCACATTATTCGTGGAGGAAACCAACAGATACTACAACCCAAAGATGACCCCAGCTGGAAGGAGATGTAGCCTGGATTGTGAAGTGTGCTCAGATCATGTGGCAAAGTGTCGCAACCAAACACAGAACATATGCATTGAATGTAACATTCCACTCTGTGTCTTCCCATGTTTCCAGAGGTACCACACCCTCCTGGACTACAAGATACAGTGTCACTCAACCCTTCACAAGTTAACAAGAGGCGCAGAGGGCCTGTATCGCTCACCTGTTTCTTTTGTTACATGCAACTGACATATAGGTAACTTAAGACCATTTGGTAACTAGAACACTAGACATTTTAACATCTCTTAAACGGTTCTGACGTTTCTGCAGATATTGTTGTTTGAAACTTAAAATTTTAATTTTGAAGCTTTTAACCAAAGTTGACATTTGAATCCCGATTTCCACTTAAAGTTGACCTTTGACCTCATTACTGTAATGAAGAAAACAATTCACACAGCTTGTCTCTATAACAAACCTAAGTATCATGACTAGTCCAAATGGTTCTTAGGATATTGTTGTTTGAAGTGTTTAACATATTTGACCCCTGTGACCTTGAAAGTAGGTCAAGGTAATTTTAATGAGGAAACTTTATAGCACTCCATCCCAGGTACCTACTTGCTAAAATATCATGACCCTGGGCCTAATGGAACTTGAGAAGGAGATTGTTAAAGCTTTTAACCAAAGTTGACATTTGACCCCAAACTAGCACTTGAAGTTGACCTTTGACCTCATAACTGTAACTGAAAAAAATATTTGCACTGCTGGTTTACATAACATACCTAAGTATCATGACTCTAGTTCAAATGGTCCTTAGGATATTGTTGTTTGAAATTTTTAACATATTTGACTTTGACCTTGAAAGTAGGTCAAGGTCATTTTTATGAGGAAACTTTATAGCACTCCATCCCAGGTACCTACTGACCAAATATGACCCTAGGTCCTACAGTTCTTCAGAAGAAGTCGTTCAAAAGAAAAAGTTGAAGGACGGACGACGGATGCCACAGTACGGCATAAGCTCACACATGGCCCTTTGGGCCAGGTGAGCTAAAAAAAACTCTGAAAGGTTTGTAAATAAAAGTTGACTTGGACTAACATTTCATTTGTGGACGTTTTTTATAACAAAGTTATGTTCAACCTATCATTTTCACCTCATGTAATAAAAACAAACAACATTTGGTATCAAAACAAACTTCAATAATTTCTCCAAACAAACCCAAAATATCATACAAGTACAATAATAAATGAAAAAGTCATGATTGTTTTAAATAAATTAGTTCAAAACTTGACCAACGGTTCAAAGTTACCGAGTGGCTGGGTCTAGGGGGAAGTAACTCTTACGCAGCAGGCAAAGAGTTAAAGGAAACGTTGATGGACGAAGACGGACACCTCACCATGAATGACATAAGCTCACTTGCCCTTCCTTCGGGCAGGTGAGCTAAAAACTAAATAAATAAGGACTGTTTTTCATCTTATTTGCAATGTTTTTTATTTTCACCTTCAAAGCACATGTGAGAGACAAAAACTTAAACCAAACAGAAACTGAAGTATTATGACACTGATGTGTTATGAAGGTAGATCGACACTCAAGTCTCAAACATTTAAACATTCTAGCGTCTATTTCAACACTTAATCAGCTGATTTTTTTCTCATTGTTTCTGAATATTATGTCATTTTTGAGACTGAAAAGAGCTCAATGTTAATTCTCGGGAAAATACCCTCGAATCCATATTGACAAATATCAACAGTGACATACTGATGCAGTTCAAAAAGGTAAGTTATTTCACATCATCAAAACACCTCACCAAATTAAGGCCCCTATTAAAGTTGTATTAACATCCAGACTTATATTATTCAGTAGTGGTTATGGTACCATGAATGGATTGTGGCAGGGACAGATGAAAAATGTTTCAATAAAGCTTCTATAGGGTGACCTGTTTGACTTAACAAATTAAAAGCTAATGATGTGATGCAACCGTTTCAAAATGTGAGGGCAAACCCATCATGAAGCAATTCACAAGATTGGAATAAACATGAGATTTTTCCAATTTCTAAGATGACATATTGTACAAAATTTTAATAAAATGTTGCATATATTCAATTTAGAGACTTTAGTGTTTAGTCTACCATGAAGTAGTTGAGGTTTCGACAGACTCATGCATGTACAAAAATGTGTTAAACTAATTTGTATTTTCAAAATAATAGTAACACAGTTATCGTGATGTAAACAACATTATTTCCATGTCAGGTTGATTTATTCAATTAGCACTATAGAAAGGATGCATTTGTAGCTCATCATCACCTTTCACACTTGTGAAAACTCGTGAAATCCACAACATAATTCCATATAACCATACACTTTTATTGATTGGTATGATTACAACACATGATACTAGAGAGAGTGATTATATAAACAAGGCTCACAACTGCATTTACTCCCATCCCTGGCAGATCAATTGTGAAATCATATTTGTTAGTAGTCATAAAGTCAGGGAAGACTGCTGCTACAGCGATCACATTTAAAGTAAAGGGTACCATTGCCCAAATTATAAACAGGAACAAGTTCTCTATTACTGAGCTGTTTTCTTTTGACACTGGGTAGTTGTTTCTCAGGCTTAGCTGTATTTCCCTTGCCAACACAAACAGTTGTTGGAAGCATTGGTTAAGTGTAGGTTTGACACGGGGTAGGTCCTGCATTAGATCCCTATAGTTGCTGACACGGGGTAGGTCCTGCATTAGATCCCTATAGTTGCTGACACGGGGTAGGCCCTGCATTAGATCCCTATAGTTGCTGACACGGGTTAGGTCCTGCATTAGATCCCTATAGTTGCTGACACGGGGTAGGTCCTGCATTAGATCCCTATAGTTGCTGACACGGGGTAGGTTCTGCATTAGATCCCTATAGTTGTTGACACAGGGTAGGCCCTGCATTAGATCCCTATAGTTGCTGACAAGGGGTAGGTCCTGCATTAGATCCCTATAGTTGCTGACATGGGGTAGGTCCTGCATTAGATCCCTATAGTTGCTGTTTGGCTTATTTTTATTCCATAATGGGCATCACAAGATCTACCTTCTAGGGAATTGCCTATCAAATATATCCTAACAGTGACGTGAAGTTTTAGAACACATTTCAACTTGATAGTATTCTTTACCCGACGGATAGTGCAGTGATTTCTTTTGATATTTTAGTAATAGTGATCTTAACTTGAACCAACTTCAACCAATAGCTCTCATATAATCTTGTCCAACGTATGTCAAAGGTTAATGTACTTGTGAATGACCATCAGAATCTTTCAATTGTGAAATAGAAATTCTATTGTCTATGACCCTGACCTTTGACCAATAATGCCACATTACTGTTATGCCTTCCATCGTTATTAGGAACTTCTGCCAATATTGTAATAGTAAAATTAATCAAAATGTAACTTGTTTTTGTCTATATATAAAAATGCTCCAATGAAGCGGGCACTACAGTAGCATTAGAGAAACGCACTACTAGTACATAGTTTTCATCGTAACTGAAAGCTTACACGGTTCACATTCATTCTAAGCAATGTCCTGTGCATGCATCAAACAATGGTCGGAATTGTTTTCACAGCAAAACCAATATAAAACAACTAAAATGGGCATCCAGCTGGTCCCCAACACTTACAAGATAGTAAGTGTTTAGAATTGAATACATTATGAATTTAACAAAATCACACAATGGACTAACATTTTTACACAAAATCAATGTTTTTCTCACATTTCAATATGTTGTATGAAAATGTAAATTTGAACAGCAGCACTTGTGCTTCTTGTCTGTCAAGTCTCCTCTAGGCTGTTCTCCACTCAGTGAAGTGCTTGTGTATGTAAACATCACATGGCATATTTAGTAGTCCATTCTTTAGCTAAACGGTTATATTTTTGGTCATCTGATTTATATATTCTGGCAATTTCTGGTACCAAGGGATCATCAGGATTTGGATCAGTTAGTAGTGAGCAAACTGACAGCAACACTGAAAGCAAATAAAACAAATTAGGTCTACGGAAGTAACTTTAAAAGTTGCAAATTGATCTAAAAAAATCTCATACTTGACCTTACTACAAAATTTAATCAAAATTTTATCAAAATCAATTGAAAAAATGAAAGTTGTTAAAGTGTTTGCCCTGAATCAAGACACACATAGATAGCACGTTAGTAGTGGGGCATACAAAATGATTGCTTGGGCATAAACAGACTTTTCTGCAAAAAATATATATTATAAGACTTACAAAAAATGTATTCGTTCATAATAGAAAAGCTAAAAAAATAGTAAGATTTGTATTGCTTTCATTGCTGACAGTGCTGCACATTAAACTCTCATCACTAACCATTCCATCCTTGCATTATATTTTCCCCAAATAATTCACAAAAGGAAAAGACTTGATTGTTGTATCTCCGTCCTTTTGATCAGAAGATCCATTGGGTGCCTTATTGGACGTATCCATTCTATACTTTTTATGGGGCAAAGGTCTTTGTTCAATGGATCACATTTTAGATTGACCTGCACCAATTCTCATCAGCTGGCTAACCCAGATGGAAACGGAAATCTCTCGAGCAAACAATCCTGTTCTATAGTGCTTGTTTTCTCTGGATATTAAAGTATTCCTATGCGAGTGCTATTTTACATTTGTGCTACACCAGAGAATCCCCGACATAATACTCAGCTTCATTTGGTCCAGGTACCATTCACTTTTGTTTGAACTTTTGCATAGATTCTATTTTTTTTATTTCGTCAATGTTAGAACAATAGTGAAAAAAGCATTGTTTCCAGCCCGTGTGCACACCTCCAATAGCTATGGGTGTACACATTCATCTCACTGATTATTTTACATACAGTACTGTCCTTGTCGAATCAATCATAAAAAGGTAAGATGTCACCAGCAAGTTGCAGTGGCTGATAGATTTGCTGTGCCAACACTGAACTTTAGGGGTTTAATGACCACACCCTTTCATCACACTCACTGGTGTTCCAGCAGGGCACCTGCAAAAGTACTCCAAGAAAGAAAGGAAGAGGGGGGCTTATACAGGGGTATAAAAATCCACTTGCCCAACGTCAGGGAAGACCAGTTTTCAGATACAGGCAAATGTAATTACTTGACTGAATTGCCTCGACCAAGTACGTTTTTATAGCATGCATCTTTTGTTACAAATGCAGTAAAATCTGTTTTGCAGCAGGTTCAAAAATTATGACGTCTTGTTTTGTTCATTTTATGATTCCAAAAAGATTTGAAATGCAACGAGAACTGTCGGCCGTTCGGTGGCAGACATTACATGTTTACACATATTACCAAATAGACAGTGCAAGGGCAGTTACTCTAATGCTATAAATGAGAATCATGCGACAGCCATGATTTTGTATCATATTGTTGTAGCTACCTATGTGGTTACACTACCATGTCATATGGTCATTATAGCTTTCATCTTCAGATATGAACTAGTGATTACTTAACCAAACACAACTTGGAAGGTTTGTGTAAATCTCTTGAATGATAATGTAAAAAGTCAGCAAATAGTGTTTGTGACACTGTGTGTCCATAGACAAGTGTGTGCAGAAATGTGTTCGCATTCAGTGTAAGTGTTTTGAAATGGTAATAAAAAAAAAAAACTAGAATTATGTCAGTCTGACATTTAAGCCGCTCACCATTTTAAATTGAATTGCTTCAGTAAGACGTTGAGCATCAATATCTTCTATAATACCTCAGATATGTGTTCTGTATTCTGCTAATTGAAAATCAGGTCATGTGATAATGATGCCTTTGGGATTTCCAAAATCAATCACCTCTTAAATGATGCCTTAAAAACATTTCTCCCTCTCCTCTTTTTTCACCCTCTTTCAGTGTGACGCATTGTTGTAATTTTCATTAACTAGCATCCTCCAATGATGTGACATGAGCATTTATGTGCAGAATGCCAATCGGTGAATGGATAATAAAGAATAGGTGCATTTTGTGATTGTGAAATGAAGAATTAACAGAATGGGGGAAAAATACATGGAGAAAAGAGACATTGTACTCCTTTTATTTTTATTTATTATTTATTCATATGAATAATNTTGACAATATATGCACATTCTATCGAGCTATTTGTATTACTACTGTAAACGGATAAACTCATTGTGAAAATAAATTATATTTAATGATAAAAAAAAGAATGTTCTGTATTCTGAATCAAGATTTATATAGTTCTATGCAATTTGAGCAAAGTTTCATCTGCCTACCATTTAAACATTGCTCATGAACTCAATTGAAATATTAACAAAATGGGGTACAAAATCCCAGAAAACGGTATGGTGCGACAACATAAAATATAGCCTATCATATTTCTAAACATGGAAAACCAAAAGAACGACTAAAATTTGTCAGAAATTGTCAAAACATTTTTGAAATGAAGCAAATTGTTTTAAATGCTGACAGTTATTTCACAAACTGACTTATATAATGAAGTGTTACATTTTGCATACTCGACCAGCTTATGTGTATGAAACAGACTGAAATAATGCATCGAAAAATAAGTGTGAAACCTGGAACGTTGACCGACACCCCTAGACAAAATTCTGGATACCCCCCCATGCACTGCTGTGACAGTAGTGATGGGAAATCATTTTTAATTATAGAGAATTGAGAGGATGTTAAAAACTTACCCATATACTATGTCTGGATGTCTTAGCAGTGCCGCAAATTTGCGTTCAAAGTATTAGGCTTCAAGTTCATTGACGTTTTCACCGTCCAAACTTTCACGCAAACATCTACCATGACAGCGTAAATAACAGCTTTATTAATCAATATCATCACTTGATACATAATGAGAATGCTATATGTAACATATGTAATAAGCCCGTCAACATTGCAAAACCCCCATGAAAATTACTTTTATGCTGATCAACTCGGCCTACAGTACACTTCAGGTTTTTTGGTACTGAAATCCCGCTTGCGACAAGTCGTCGCGCAGGTGAAGAGGATTAAAGCCCCACCGAGAAATTACCTAAGCAAAGTCGCGGGGTTGGCGGATGAGCGTTGGGGATTAACTTGTTGATCGGCAGCTAACTAATGTACTGTACATTGAATAGCACCGACAGTCCAGGATGCCCGAATGCTATATTTATATGCTGTATGCACCACTATTTTATGTAATACAATATAGTAGTAGAACGTGGTACGTCCAAAAAAATATCATTTACGTTCACGTCAGATTATCAGGTGAAAATCGGTCGGAAACAATTATGTAAGGTAACAATAACTAACGTCTCTGGGTAACACGAGGCTATCTTTCAGTTGTTTAAGCAGCACACAGTGTTTTGGATGGTCAGCTATTTGCACCAACCATTCTTGCTCTATTTCGTATTCTAAGTCAGAAGATTGCATAAATATACGAAAGAAAATCAGCTGCTTTCGACAACCTAGTTACAGGTGGCGCTGTTGATGTACATAACGTAATACGATGTCAATCAGGTGAAGCCGAAATACTTTGACTAGTAACAGAGATGTGTGTAAAATTCTTCCATTTTTGTGTACACTTTGTTTGAAAGTTTATAGGGAAATATTACTAACCAGTAAAGGAAACAAGAGGCCCAAGAGGGCCTGTATCGCTCACCTTTAATATTTAAGCAGTCATAGCAAAATATTCTCATTAAATATTATATTGCACTAAAAATATTTCCCTCGCAAACTTTGTTGGCTCCATCTGTCGAAACTACCAGCAAAATATTATTATAAGATTCTATGCTTTTTGATTCTTCTTCAGAAGTTGCCGACATATTTTTCCCTGTAATCTTTTAAGTAGGTCAATGTCATTTTCCTTCTCAAATTGGTTAGCTCTATTCCAAAAAGCTACCAGCCAAATCTTATGAATCCATTCCTTTTAGTTCTCAAGAACAAATCCATTAAAATGTTGTTGACCTCTGTGACCTCTGAAGTAAGTTGAGGTCATTTTCATTTGCAAACTTTGGTGAGCTCTATCCCGGGAAGTCACCGGCCAAATATTATAATTTAATGCCTTTTAATTCTTCAGATGAAGCTGTTTGGACTGTTTGACATATTTGAACGCTGTGACCTTGAAAGTAGGTCAAGGTCATTTTCATTCGCAAACTTTGTTTGGCTCTTTCCCAGGAAGCCACCTGCCAAATATTAAGATTTTATAACTACCAGTTCTTCAGAAGAAGTCGTTTAAAGTGTTTGACATATCTGCCTCATGTGACCTTAAAAGAAGGTCAAGGTCATTTTCATTCTCAAACTTTGTTCGGCTCTTTCCTAGGAAGCTACAAGCCAAATATAGAGATT